CACAAGAGCTTGAGGAGATCATCTATTGGAGTTTGAGCAATCAACTATTTTCCCTCCATCTCTTGTCATATATTGAGAAGTTTTCTAAACTCTTTTCTAGCTTTATATTTATTTGTTTGATTATCATCTTATTAAAGCTAGTTTTATATTGAGTTTAGATTTGATTAATCTCATTGTTACACACACCCACTTGAGCTTATTGTATTTGCATTCATAATATATTTGAGGTTGTGAGAGATAGTAACTTTGAGTTGAGCCTAATTGAGTTCTCACCTTGTTTAGAGAACAATCATTTGTTGTGCTTAATTTATGAAGTTCACTTTGTAATACACTTGTACACCGAGAGGAGTGTGTGGTAAGGACGGAGTAAATACCGAGAGGAGTGGTGTGCCTAGTGAGAGGTGATAATTTCGAGCACTTGAGGGAGTCGATACGTGAGGACCAACACTTGAGGTTGTAGCTTGTGTATGTACTTTGTGAGGATTTGTGAGAGTTGTCGGTTGACTTGATAATCGAGTGTGCAGAGTTTTCGGTTAGCTAGAAAACCGAGTGTGTAGAGAAGTTCCGGCTTTCAAACTGGGTTGTGTAGTTGATTCTCCTCGAGAGTTGGGAGTGGGGACGTAGGACGGAGGGTCCGAACCTCGTGAACATATAGCGTGTTTAGTTTGCATTAGCGCACTTATAACTGTTCATCTTATAGCCTATTGCATCTTGTTTGTTTCACCCTTGTGATAGTTTATATATCCTTGCATACATCATATAGTATATCTCATTGCTAGGATATATCACCTTTGATCATATTGCGTATTCTTGCTCATAAGTAATTGTATATCATCTTGCAAGAACATATTTGTTAATAAGTTTTAAATTGGCATAAAATCGGATTAGATTAGCATAAACCCTATTCAACCCCCCCCCCCTCTAGGGTTCTTTCCTAGCGACTTTAGGGTCTAACACTTGCGACCAATGCCCCCGCTACCGGCTCAACTGAAGTCTCCTTATCCTTCTTTCGAAGCTGATAATTCACAAGTGCAGCGGTGACCTCACTATAAGAAAGAGATGTCTTCCCATTAATATGAGTAAGAACGAAGGTCTCATATTCCTCGTCAGACAAGAAACTCAATAACAATAACGCCTTGTCCTCATCTTCAATCATCACATCTACATTCGTTAAATCCGTAAGAAGCTTCGTGTAGTGATTCATGTGATCACCAATGGGGGTCCACTTCTTCAATTGGAAGCGATAAAGCCTGCTCTTCAAATGTAAGCGGTTCTCTACACTTTTGGTCAAATATTTGTCTTCTAGGATCTCCCAAATCTTCTTAGCCGAAGTTTCATTGATCACATCATATTTAAAATCTTGAGTCAAACAAGATCTAATCACACCACACGCCATTCTATTCATCTTTTTTCAAACCTTCACCTCAATGTCATCCGGTTTCTCGTCCAACTCCAAAGTATCTTTCAAATTTTACGCATTGAGCGCATCCAAGACTTCACATCTCCAAAGATCAAAATTGTTTGTGCCATTAAACTTCCCCACATCTATCTTCATAGAGTGGATATTCAAACTTTGGACGGTCTTCACGCCGGAAGTACCCTCCACAACTTCTTCTTTTCCGAACATCTTTCTCAAAGCACCAAAACAAATACGGAACAAACGAAGAATAGATTCAAAACTAAAAAAGATAGAGTCTTTACCAAAAAGATCTCACATTTATCACCAAACGAAACCCTAGGCGAGCCTCCAAAACAACCTACTCCTCCAAATAGCCCAAGCGTAGCCCGAACTCTGATACCACTTGTTGAGCGCTGTGGAAGCTAAACAACCAAACCAATATGCTATGAGAAATCAAATCAAACGAACGTCGAGAGAAGGCCAAACGAATCAAATCAATGCCACAAACACAAACAACCAATTTTAACATGGTTATGCAAGTTGTCTACGTCCATGGGGCAAGAAGTGGATAGGGTTTTTCACTAATAGAGAAGAAGAGTACAAACTAAGATTACAAATCACTCAAACTCACCAATTAATCTTACCAACAAATCTATAATTCTCTCCAAACAAAATCCTAACCAATAGCTCAGAAAATACCTCTTTTCTGTGCTTCAAATATCCCTAATTTTCTTCTCAATTCTTTCTTCCAATTGTTCCATATATATAGAAATTCTAAAATCATAAACATACTAGGAATTCTAAAACAAAAAACAAAATAGATTAGGAATTCTAATAACCTATTACCAAAACAGATTTGGAATCATGTTACCAAAACAGATTAGGAATCATAACCAAAACAAATTAGAAAATATATTAGGAACCTGCTATCCAACAGTTTCACCTCTTAAAATAGCCTCGATAAGACCTTGTACATTTCAGCCCTAAGCTCCTTTTGATGAGTCCTAATGTATGACTATCTTCCACTTTCAACCATTGTATAAGCATCTACTATAAACTGTTGCAATAATCTCCTTGATAGTAATATTGTAGGTGCTTCATTTTCTCTACATTGATAGTAATATTGAGATGCACTGTTTGAATCTATGTAAAATGTTCTCTCGATAATCATCTTCTCCTCAGGGCAATACAATAGGATGTTGCATCAGCAAATAAGATGGGTGCAGTTCATTGTCTCTTTTAAACACACCACTTTGTAACTCTACTATTTTATCTCTCTCAACATTTAAGCTATCAATATCTCCTACGATAAGGACAACAACCTCAGAAGCTGTAGGAAGATTTTAAGTCCTTCCATCATTGTTCCTTTTACGGATCAACCTTAGGTTCACATTTGAGGATTCATTGTTATCAAACCTCTCTTTAGCCATTCTAAAAGATTTAGCGAATGGATTATATTCATCGAACATTTCCTTCAAACTTTGAGCAATGGTAGAATTTAACCCTACAGAATAATGTGCAGAACTATAGAAAATATTTAAATATTAAGAATTAATTTAAGTATTTATAAGTGAAGCGGTAGCAATAAACAAAAAATATATTACAAAACAAAGTTATGCAAAAATATGACGTGTAAATGCAAAAGTATGACATGTAACATAGTGATAATAGTTATTTATTCCATAGAAGTTAACATGATCATATTTTTTTGGTCAATGAAGAAAATTTTATTCATTTACCAAAATGTGAAAATTATGTACATCAAGATACTCAAACCTGAGCAAAACTGAAAAAACAAAACCAAAATCAACATAGTATGAAGAAACTCAATCAGCTAAACATATATGATTGACTTCACAAAGAGAGAAGCCAATCCTTCTTTTCGGCTGGAAAAGAACTATTGAGGATGATAGACAATATATTAATTTTAATCTCCCTGATGATTTGATCCCTACTTCTGACTTTTTGTTTGAAAACTCTAGCATTGCACTCCTTCCACAAACTGTAAACTGTTGAAGAAAGAGCCATTCTCTTCACTCTTTGCTTGAATCTCTTCCCCCTCAATCTGAAACTGTATCAATCCATCAATAGGTTCCAGTTATAAGCCCTCCAATTAAATTGAAGCCAGTCCATGACACCATTCTAAACATCTATTGAGAATCTGCATTCAAAGAACAGGTGATCACGAGTTTCCAATCCTGCATCTTCACATAAACAACACTGACCAGATTGGATAATTCCTCTTTTGAGAAGCCTATCCCTTGTAAGAAGCCTGTTATGCACAGCTAACCATAGGATAAAACAGTGCTTAGGGTAGCTTAAATTTTCACCGGGTTGAACTAAGGCACTTTGTTTGTTACTGGGGATATAGCTGAATACAACTCAGAGAAGTGCACATTGGAGTTTTTGTAACATGAGTTGATACAATGCTTCAAACTTTCAATGCCACCACAATTAATTATAACTTTGTCCCTGATCTTAAGCAACTGTTTTCACATCCAAGAATCACTAGCTTTAGGATTTACATGCCAAATAGATTCATCCTTTAAATAGGTACCATGAATCCATTTTATCCACAATAGCTCTTTATTAATGTGTATATACCAAATAGTTCTTAGTGCAGTAGTAAAGTTCCATGTAGTTGCTGAAAACACCCCCAAACCTCCATGTTTCCTATCCATACAAACTTTGTCCCAAGATACAAGGGGAGATTTTAAAGGCTGATTTGATTTGCCCCATAAAAAATCCATGCACAAGCCATCAATTTTCTGAAGGACTTTAGCTGGTAGGATATAGTTAGATGACCAAAAAATTTGAACACCTAAGATGACACTCTTGATGACATGAAGTCGACCAGGATATGATAGGTTCCTGTGTCTCAGCCAGGATTGAAACTAGTTTGTGATTTTCATTAAAAGAGGACTGAAATCAATGTAGGATCACATTTTACATATTAGAGGGACACCAACGTACTTAATTGGCAGGACCCCCTTAGGTATACCCAGTAGATTATGAATTGAACTTTTAACAGAGTCTTCAACACCTCCATAAAAAATTGAGCATTTAAAAAGATTTGCTTCTAGTCCAGATGTAGCTCCAAAGTTATTGAGACACTGATGTAATTTTTGAATTGAATATAGATTTCCTTTGCTAAAAAGAAGAAGGTCATCCGCAAATGAGAGATGATTGATCTTTAGCTCTCCACACTTTGGGTGAAACTTGAACTTCCTATCATGCTTCAATATATTCAGATTTTTAGAGAGATACTCCATGCCAATTATAAACAAGTAAGGGGAGAGAGGATCTCCATGTCTTAAACCTCTGGCTCCTTTAAAGTAACCATGAAGAGTAGTATTGAGAAAAAATATAGTTCATGTGATACAAAAGAGATCGTTAATATGTTCATTATAACTAAAAAGCTAAGATTAGACATCTTGATCATCAAAATTAACCACAAATCTATAATTTAAGAATCAAAACTATCGTGAGAGTATGACTAATGTGTGTTTGGATATTTTGGATACGGATACAGATATTTCACTACAAAACCATATCTATAACCATATCCTATTGGTTATAGATTTGAGTGATCATATTTGTATCCTAACGGATACGGTTACGAATATTTCATCGGATACGGATACGGTTTAGCACCCCTATATATGAGGACCAAATACATCCAATGTATGATTGATAACATCCGGTTAACATAGATTTGTGATCAATGGTCCTAAGCAAATAAAAAAGGACTCGTACTAATATATATTGAGGGCTCGAGTAGAGGAATAGCTTTATTGTATATACAAATAGAGAGAATTTTCTCCTACTCTTTTAATCCTCATATCTTAAAACTCATACTTGAAAAGGCTTCCCTCTGAATTTAGTTCAGCAATGGCACCTTCCATCATTTCCTTAAGTTGAGTGCTATTCATTGTATTGGCCTGCGAACACAAACATCATTAGCAAGTTAACAAAAATCCAGGAAGAAAATTATGGCCCCTAAAAAATTTTAGGGGTCTAAAGGATCACTATGCATGCAAAAGAAACAGAATGGGAAATTTGACTAACAAATTCAGCACTTTTAACTTTTGAAATTATATTGCTATCACAAATCAGACCCAAATCCTGTTAAAAAATATTGCTTTTCTTATAAAAAAGATATAGTTAACCGCATATTAGTTGTCATCACAAAATTAATTAAGTCCGTGTATTACTCTCATCCCGTTTTGTTGTCCAATCTAGTGATCAAGCAATAGTTAACAAAATTGTCAAATGAATATACGAAAAATATTTGTTGATAACATGATATTTGATAAGATTTTTCTTTTTCTTTTGCTAGTAAGATAACAATAAAGGAATGACCATATTTATTTGATTTATTGGGATCATAAATTGAATTAGGCACGTTTGAGTTATAGGCCCTACCCAAGCGGGCCCCATCCGGATCAGAGACCAACAAAAATTAGGCCGAAGTGAATTCTTAAGAATTTATGAATACAGTGAATCTCACGTAAAAGCTCAATAGAACTAAAATTCTCAACAAATTTTCTCTCTGTTTTGATAATAAGTGTTGAGAAAAGCGGATGGATTTAGTGCATGTTTGGTTGCGTTTATTTCGAAAGAAAAGTCATTAAAGTGTAGAGTTCCCCCTCCGGAAGGGGAGGATTTTGCCGGAAAGTGAAAAACATGGCAAAAATCTAAATGGAATTCAAACTAAACACCGGAAAAATCTCAATGAAAAAGTGATGACGTGGATTATCACTTTTATGTAGAGTTAAAAATCCTCAACTTTATCAAAAACACCCAAACCAATCCTTAGCTTCACGTTATAAATATTGTTTTCTCTTGAGAATTTTGCAGAGAGAGAAAAGCGGACATCAAAAAACTTTCCATTCAACTAAACAGAAAACAAAAAAAAAATTGAAAATTTGAATTTATGAATACACTTAAGACTAAATTTAGGACTAAAATTTCTATTTTGAACTAAAATAGTTTTGCTTTAAACTTAGGGGGAGGTGGTCCAAAACGAAACCAATTTGAAAGCTAAATTTAGGACTTGTTTGGCAAACCACTAAAACTGACCGGGTTCAAACCTCGTCTAATTTTAGTATAGTTTTGTGTTTGGCAAAAGTTAGGCCAGAGTTGGCCCAACTTATTTTAGTTCATTTTTCAGCGTTTTAACCAAGCTAGAATTAAACCACCCTTTACCTAGTGCAATTCTGTCCTGGTTAAAAAATAAAATTGGATTGGCCTGATTTCTATTAGGTTGCCAAACAAACTCTTAGGCTTAGAAAACCTAGGTCAGAATTGGCCTGGTTTTACCCAAATAATTTCTGCTAAAAATTAGGTCAAGTTTAAACCTAGCCCAATTTTAAAGAGTTGCTGAACACACCGTCAAAATTTGAAACCAAAGAGCCCATGGGAGGGAGAAGGGGGGAGAGAGAGAAACCTCGATAAAAAAGGTGTTTAGAAGGCTCTCGGATACAGAAGTAACGTTGGCCATTATAACGTTGACGTTTAGAGACTCAAAAAGTTCATAAACTTTGATCATGTTCCCCCTTTTTTTATCGCAAATGAGGTTTACACCCAATGTCCTCTCTCCTACTTGCCACATCTTAATCTGCACAACCACCAAATATAAATAAACAATAACAACAACAATAATAATAATAAAACAGCATCGACCAGATTATCTCTCTGTTAATCTAAGCTAAAACCATAATACATCAAGGCAGGGAATCAGAGGTTTAACTATTTTCTATTGCTTATGAGCGTCTTCAGAGAACTTGGGCTCGAATTCGGATTCGAATTCGAATATGATATCTTCGTATTACGGTTCGACTTAACTCGGGTCCTATATATAACCAGGTATTTTACATAATTATTGAGAAGCCTCTCCATGTAATATTTTATCAAGCTCCAAGAAACAAATATTGTGGAGAGACATCTTACCTCCATTATCTGAATGGAAAAATTTTCATGAAGTGACCGAGTAGCCAAAACAGAGCTTTTAGTTATTCCCTCTCTATTGTTTTTTTCATTAAGGACTTGAGCCTCTAGCTGCAATATCTCGGCAGTCATTCTCTTCTCCTGTTCTTGTAACATTAGTATGTAGTCAATGGCATCCTTCACCACGGACGACTTGTCAAACTGAGACCAATTAAGATAAGATTATCAGAACAATTCAATTAATATATGGTCTGTTCGGATAATCTTGTTTTCATTTCAATCCCTGGAATCAAGCTCAATTCCAGAGTTTGGATGCGAACATATTTTAGTTTGGCTCAATTTAGCTTAGGCTTTGCGGACTGAGGTGGGAGGAGAATTTTAAATGACAACTAAAATCGTTTCATTTCCAACATTCATTTTCTCTCTCCCTTTCAAAATCTAGAAAGACGCAAATAAGTTCTTAAAAATCTAAAATTACAAAAATAGCCTCTAAATTCTTAAAATTGCAAACCGACCACCTTAAGAGTTTGGAAATCACAGAAATAATGAATTTGGAATTGAAAATACTAGATTTGAAACTCCAATGATTTCCAAACAATGAAACTGAAATTAAATTACAAGTACCAGATTCTAGAAATAAAGCCTACATGTTCAACTTGATTCCTTTAATCCAAACGTAAGTCTCAAGGATTTTTTTTTTTCCTTCAAAGGTACCTTTTGGAAAGGATAAGTTATACAAAACCCTCTCATCTATAAGCTTTATAATAGTTATCACTCATCAACTCACTTATTGCCATCTGACATCCTAGGGGTTGATATTTGGGAGAAACTTGTTGTTAAGTAATAAGTGGTCGATAGTTGCTATAGTAAAATTCTGTAGATGATCCCTTATTTATATACATTCAATACACTTATTATCCTCGACCGGCTTTTTTTTTTTAAGTAAGATTAGGGCAAGCTGCCCTATCATAATATGTACTATAACACAAAAGCAGTATTTATAGATAATACCTAGGTGTGATTTAGCTATTGATCCCCCAGGGAGAGCGGATAGAGGAGCGGACATTTGTGGTCACTCTACACAACGAGGGATGCACAAGAAAATCACTCGTAGATATCACATTGGACTATACATGATAAGAAGAAATAGAAAACCAAAAACATAAAATAGTATCTAATAAGAAGAAACAGAAAACCAAAACATTATTATCCTCAACTTGTTTGTTAGAATTTATCTATCTCAGAATTTACGAGAGAGGGAGTGATTGCTGCAATTTATTCTTCACAAAATGGTAATGCAGACATAACAAAGAGCAAATAAACAAATTTAAGAGGTGATATTATGTGCTACTGAACATATAAATAAGAGTGATTATCTGCAGTTTTACTCATTTTTAATAAGCCAGTTGAAGGGCGATACATGTTATTTAAGATGTAGTTCCACATAATTCTATAAAATTTATGCTTTTAGAATATGGGTAAATTGCCCTAATCCCCCAAGAACTTTCCGCATTTTGCAGTTAACACCCAATAACTTTGAAAATCACATTAAACCTCAAGAACTTTCAACATTTTGTAATAAACCCAATAACTTTCTAAACCACATAAACCCCCAATAGCTTTTGCAAAAAAAGCCCAAAGTTAAAGTTGTTATATCTGACATGGCGTGTGCAACTCATGTGACTTAAAAAGACCAAACTACCCCTTAACTTATTTAAAAAACTCTTTATCATTCAATCTCCTTTTGCTCTCGCCAAGGTTGGGATACGGAAACCTTTTTTTTTGGCTAAAATTGTTCTTCAAAATTCCTTTTTATGTTGTTTTCTGATTTAATTATGGGGATTATCTACAATTCCAAAAGTTATTAGGGTTTTAGTGTGATTTTGAAAGTTATTAGGTGTTTAATACAAAATGCTAAAAGTTCTTGGGGGGTTAAGTGTGATTTTGAAACTTATTTCGGGTCTATTACAAAACGCTGAAGGTTCTTGGGGATTTAGTGTAATCTACCTTTTGAGGGAGTGAATTAGATACCTTGGTGAAGTTTGGGAGAGCAAGCCGAAGGGCTTTGAGCTTGTCATTAACCAGTTGTCGTCGCTCCCTCTCCTTTACTAAGCTCCTTGGGAGGGCGGAGGATGAGGATGCATTTTGTTCGGGCGAGCTCGATTCGTTGCTTGGAATGGCGTCGCCGAAGACCTGCAGACTGTTTCAAATTGGAGAAAAGCTAGTTGTGGTTAATTATAAAGAAGATGGATTTGGCTATAAGCGAAGAAAATGTTACTGATATATAGCCAACCAGCCCGAACGAATAACCCTCTCTGAGGATCTAAATTTGGCTTTTTTTTCCTTTTTTTTATAGAAACCACCTTAGGATTCTTAAATTTAGTTCCTCTAATTATTAGATCGAAACTCCGAGCGGGTTAAGCGCCCTTTTTTTATGGGTCGAAACCTGGACTCATGTAGCGGTGTCAATTTTTAGAAAATCTGCATTTAATTCATGGCCGATGGGATTTGAACCTGGATTGCTCTGATACCATCTTATATTTAGTTCCTAAAACCATTACACCAAATCTCCAGAATTATGGTGATGATCAATGATTATACTTTTATATTAATTCTAACAAGGATTATTATGCAGAAACAACCTTTTACTTTCAGTTTATACATAAATCGTATTTAAAGCGGATTTTTGTTCCCACCAACTTACTCCAAGTCAAAAATTTCACTGAAAATCATGAAGCATCCTTATAAAAACTTACATTTAAGACATACGAATCACTTTATTAATGTTTTTTCTAGTTAGAATACGAGTCATGTATCTTAAATATGCATTTTTAAACTTATTTGTTTATTAGAATAAAATCTCATCACTTTAAAATAATTTACATATAAATTAAATATCATTCTACACATAAATTGAAAATAAAATATAATTTACAAGGAAAAAACCCTTTACATATAGATCTAACAAAAATTAACATATGTCACGAATCCATACGTCATATCCGTAAGCGATTAGATTATTTTAATAATCTAAACCGGGTTATTTAAAAAAAAACAGAAAATTGAGAAGACATTCGGAACCAGTTACTGGTTCTTGGGCCTTTTTGCCGCTCGTAAACAGGCCTGGGCGACCGCAATATGATGACAATATCAAAGAGGTTAAAGTAAGGATTAGTAGGCAACGAACAATACCGCAGATTGACGAAAGGAAGAACTGAGAAAACAGAGAAAGTGATAATGAAAATACAGAGATTTCGACAATCAATTTTATTACCTATAACATTGATGTATAATTAGATCACGATTCCACTAACCATCAACACAAGAAGTTAAAGCTTAATCTTTCAAACCGTAAACTCACCTTCCTCTGTCATTTTTATTTTTCTCTTTAATTTGGATTCCCTTTGAATAAACAGTTGAGATACATACATATAGCATAATTTCTTCTTCTTCCTTTTTTTTTGGTGTCCAAATATGGTTGAAAAATACAAACGCCGTCACTTTGTAAACTCTACATTTAATTTTTGTTCACAAGGCGGGACAACCGTTAGCCCCGTCCCCCTTAGCCCACGTGTATTTTCTGTAGGCATCTAATTCATAGAGGCGGTGTTATTTATTGAAAAATGCCCTAGGGACCCCAAATGAGGGGACCTTGTAGGGGACAGGTGAGGTGGCAAGCCCTCACTGGGTGTTGCACTGTTCATGAATAGTGCAGCACCCAGTGAGGGCTTGCCACCTCACATGTCCCCTACAGGGTCCCCTCATTTGGGATCCCCGTAGCAACACTCTTATTTATTCTTGATGCAAATTAAGTTCCACAAATAACATGAATATTCTAAAACTGAAGGCCGGAGTTGTAAACAAAAATGGAATCAACTGAGAAATGAAGTTTTAACTATAAACAAGACTTCTGTATTATAAGGGTGTAGCCACTTAACAATTACACCCTCGTTATAGTGGATAGTACTGCTTCTCACATTTAGTTAAGATGCCATGAGAGAATTATGTATATAAGGTAAAAAATTACTTATTGCTTACAGTTCAACTGAAAAATAACTAAATTGTTCTATAAACTGAAGACAAACAAATAATATTTTATGATATTCAAAGAGCGTAAATTATGAGTTTTACTAATGGGTGCTCGAGGACACTCGATCGTTAGCTCATGAGAGAAATAGATAAGAGGAGAGGTCAGTAGAGAAATTTATGCAAATCAGAAGGAGGACTATTGTTATCTCTCTCTCATCTCCTAACGAGCGTCTATGGGCAGCTGTTAGAAAAATCGACAAAATATATAGTTTACAAGATATAAATGGTTACGCCAATCATAATACAATACAGACAGCTTATTCCAAGATAGAAAAAAAATACCTATCAGGCTCCTCATACTCAAAGAACCTTTCGATATCCAAATAAAAGCTGTCCTCTTCCATGTTATTCATAGTTTTTCTCTGATATTGTGTATTGTTTTTTAAGCGCTCTTATGGAAGGCCCATCCTCATGTATATATACCTATATATAAAGCAAATTTTGCATTATTGCACAAGTCAAACTGCTTTCGTTATTTCCTAAGTCAAACTGCTTTCATTATTTCCTCGAATTCTCACTCTCTTAGAACTGGGAATGTAAAGACCTAAAACTCCGCGTTAAGTCCATCTGGCAGCCTCACACGTGTCATGAATTTCCTTTTCATGGTGGAAATGTGAGTACTGTGCACCGCCCATAAAACTTGAAGCGCCGTCCACACGACTATTAATCAATTTGATGCATATTGGAGAGATAAAAGAGAGTAACCAGCAATTAGTCTTGAATTAGTGCAGTACAAGGGGCTATCAAGGATTATCGTACTGATAAAAATTGTTCATCGACGAGTATATATTATCCAAATGAGCAAAAGTGAAAGCGAGTGCGCATCATAGATTTAGGATTCTAATTATGTTTCGCAATGAATTATTAAAATATATATGAGATGTATTTGTAGTGTCAAAAGTCTCTGCCACTTACCAAAATTTTGTACCACAAGAGAGTACTAAGAAATTACTCTTAACATATTTTCGCAAGTTGAACATTCTTTTTATAGACAGAAACTAGGAATCTGAATTGCTCTAATATCATATCAAAAACCCGCATCCACTACTCAAATTCTAGAGCTATGACAGAGGGTTGAGAGATAATTTTGTATCCGAACATGTTAGGTTGTTATTCAGATGACAATTGTTTTTTCCACTCATAAATTTGTGAATGGGTATGATTGAATCATGTGACACTTGCTATACTTCTCGAGGTTAATCTTTATCTTTAGGGGCGATGGGTTGATGTAGAACACACTGCAAATATATTCATGGAGAAATTAGACCGTCACAAGCCCAAACAAGGACCCGACACAAGAAAATAACTTGCAACGAAGAATGAGTCATATCTCCCAAACTGTACATCAGAAGTGAATGAATTATATATGAAAATCGTGTATTTTTTCGAGACGGAGTCAACCAAACTGGTCGCTGTTCTGTTGTTGTTTCACAAAATTCCCTCCGTATTGAGAGATCTTAGAATTTTTGTTAATTTTTTACTATTTTTGGTAATGTTTTAGGAGTTTGTTTTGATTAGGAAATAAAACCAGTTTGATTCCAAATTAGACTGATTTGTTTCCCTGATTATAGAGAATCTTTTAAGGAGAGTTTTGTTATTTCTATTTTTGATAAAGTTCGAACCCTAGTAGAATTCTTATTTGTTTTCTATTTAAGCAGATGATTGTGAGCACTGAAGGCATAACTTTTTATCAATAAAATTTTATCTTTAATATATTTTATTCATGGATTCGAAGTTCTTCATGGATTCGAAAACTGTTATTTGTAGATTCAGAGAGCAATTCTTGGTAAATTCCAAGATTTATTACTTCCGCGCTGTGTTATAGATAGTAATGTGCATCACTTTGAATTTGACTAAATACTTTTCTAGGTACGTTGAAGAGGATCTAAATTATTCTACTTTGGCCATAATGTTTATCTAATGTAAAATCATAGAATAATTAATAATTCTTATTCAAATTATTCTATGAAGTGATTTTTTTCCCCACGTGTTCTAATTAAGTGAGGATTCAGACCTCTGCTTTATTAATTACGTGCAACAGGGCTCGTCCTGTTGAAAGTTTATTAGGTGTATGTGCATTATTTCCACATAAAGTGGACGGTACCGGTTATCCGAGGAAATGCGGCGGAGTAAACCAAATCTTACATGCAAGTCGCTCACACAAGAGGTACTAATAAATACATGTGAGGCACTTGCTATCGCTTTCCAGCAGCCAATCAATTCATATCCTCCCAAACTCACGTGCGCAAATAGAAAAGATCAAAGAGAAGGACGGATCGCACTAATCATCCTCATCGTCATCCTCATACTCATCGTTAGCGTCATCATTATCCTCATCATCTTCCTCGTCATCGTGCTCAGTTATTAGGCTAAATGAAGCTCAAATACTTTATTGATTCACTATCTTTATATTATCCTAGGTTGTCCTAAAAAGAAGCATATAAACACGCTAAGTTATTTATCATTAGAATATGATAAGCACCGTCAAGAAATTCGTTATGACAAAAAATGTTCCTCCACAAAATTGGACTGTATATATATAATGATAAGTTGACAATAAATAAGATCAATACAATATATAAATATCATGTGTTCATCACACGTGCAATTAATCGAAGGTACTAATGTGTTATTTTTTACAACTTGGGTGTTCAAACTCTACTTTTTACAACTGAGGATATTAAAGTGTTATTTTATATAGCTTGGGATATATGAGGGGAAATGTGGTGAAGTAATAGGGTATTTGTTGATGTCGGTTATCAAATAAAGGGTTTATTTCTGGATTAAAGTAGAGTTAGGGTCCCCAAACTC